AACGATGAAATGTTTTTGTTACTTGATCGGTCTTGGTGGGGTGTGCTATTAGGGGTTGAAGACAGTGGCTATTTGGATGGGGAGGTAAGTCTTATATTTGTCTTATATATGATTTTGATTAATTTGTTTAAAAATTAATGTAATTCACTAATATATGTATTTTTTTGTAAAACAGCATATCGATACGTGGGTGTCACGTCTACTAATAATAAGGAAGCTTAGGGAAAATAAAAAAAATTCGCTATATACAATAATGCCGACGGCTTTTCACGCAGTTCACTTGAAGAATCAATGAGATGAATCATTTTTGTTGGGCAATGGACAAGCTAAACTTTATCCTGCATGGTGGGAGGTCGATAAGGTTAGTGTTTATTTTTTAATTTTTTTAAAGGTGTTCATAAATAAGTGCGCAAATAAATGAATTATTACTTATGATCGCAGGTGTTTATCCCTGTTTTGGAACGTCGTCACTGGCTTCTCGTCCAACTTCAACTCCCATCCCTGAAGATAATAGTGTATGACAGCATGATCAATTACATATCACTGTCTGATTTGAGAGATATTTTCAAGGGATGGAGCTCTCATTTGGCTAAATTCTTGGATGGGATTAAGTATTGGAGTCATTCTGGACACAAGAAGCCAAAGAAGTTCAATGTCACAGTTGTCAGAGACGAGACCGCGCCACAGCAATCGCCGGGAGCCAGAGGGGATTGTGGTCCTCTCATATGCCTTTGCTTGGCACGTTTGACGACGGGAAGCACAGAGTTTTTACCTCCCACCGATAGAGATAGAGCTGCAGTAGGCTTGTGGTTTCGGCATTATATGGCTAGAGCAATATATTAGAGACGCTGCCTACCTTATCGACCTCCCACCATGCAGGATAAAGTTTAGCTTGTCCATTGCCCAACGCAAATGATTCATCTCGTTGATTCTTCAAGTGAACGACGTTAAAAGACGTCGGCATAATTGTATATCGTGTATTTCTTTTATTTTCCTTAAGTTTCCTAATTATTAGAAGACGTGACACCCACGCATCGATATGCTGTTTTACAAAAAAAGACATATATTAGTAACTTACATAAATTTACAAAAAAATAATCAAATGAAAATATAAGAAAAATATAAGACTTACCCCTCCATCGAAATAGCCATTGTCTTCGACCCCTAATAATACGCCCCACCAAGACCAATCAAGCAACAAATAGATATCATCATTGAGCTTGCATATGTCAGTGAAACACCCCTGGCTTCGCTCATGTAGATAAAAATCAACTGCGGTCTTAGCCCAAAGGGTGTTATCCAGAATTATGTCCGGTAGTTGTTTCCTCTCCTCTTCAGATACCGGTATGGTACTGGCCGGTAACTCATACGAGAGCCAACTTGAATCCATCATGTCCGGCACGTCAGAGGGTTTCTCAAGAATCCTACATATGACGCCATGTGAATCGGGGTCTTGCATGGTGGGAGGGACCTCTTCAACGATGACAGTGGCCTCTTGAACGGTAGGAGGGGACTCTCGAGGAATGATAGGGGCCTCTTCAACGATAGGAGTGGACTCTTGAAGGATGATAGGCGAGTCGGGCTTCTTCTTGCGGTGTCTTCGCACTATTGTGGTGTACAGAGACTTAATAGCACGTGCACGCCGTTTGATGCGTGAACTCTGTTGTGCAAGAAAAACCCGACGTAAAGCATCCACCTTATCGGTCCGCTAAATAATTAAATACAAATATCAGTAAATAAACAGACATGATATTTAAACAGTGAAAACAAAGATAAATATATTTCAAACTTTAAACCAAAAGACAAAACAAAGACAAATACTAACTTCACAGTGTTAAAGTAAAAAGTTTAGCAGTTTTGGCAGCAACCGAATAAATTTACTAAGCAATCTAAGTGAAATGGTTAATTTAAGTGAAATTACGAGTAAATTTATCATCAAGTTAAATATGGAAAATCTTAAACTTACCTCGTTGCGTAGAGTATGAACCTCATTCTGCAACGATACTACCATCTCACGTAGAGCGGCAACCTCACCACGTAAAGTAGACACCTCCACACGCCATGCACCATCGTTATCAAGTATAGTACCGATCTCCTCACGCAAGGCATTGACCTCATCACGTAACTCCCTTGACTCATCCCGTGGAGGTAGAGAATAGGGAGATAGAAGTCGTGGCATCTTTGTCGGTCGCCTATCATGAGGTGATGGTGGAGAAGAGGCTCGATGATGTGACGGGATAGGTGATGGCTCTCGTTGTAGAGGTGTATAGTCGGGTCGATCAGGTGATGGCTCTAGGTGAGGTGATGGCTCTCGAAGTGGAGGAAGTGGAGGCTGCTCATCATTCGTGCCATAAAGAAAACGCTGACTAGCTTGCCACCAATCAGTGGCAAGCTCAGCCTCCGTGGGTGTCAGCCTCATTAATGGAATGTTGACCTCCTAAAAATATAAAAACTCAAACAAAGTTAAACGTCTAATATTAATAACTTGTTTATATATGATAGTATTTGTGTTAACTTACATTATTTATTGTCGCATATGGTATTAAGTCTTCCCAATCCAACAGACGTTTCCTCTTCCAGGAAATAGCCCTGGGAATATCATTTGAAGTTTTTATTGCATATGTCTTCATGGCGGGAAAGGCCTCGAATATCCAAATCTACAAACAATATAATAACAAACATTAGTAATTGTTAAATAATTAATTATAATTTTGAAAACATTATATAGAAATTCTTACCTTAAAGGCCCAAACAAAGCCTGACAAAGTGTATTTCGACCCATCGCCCCGCAAACTTTTGCGGTCATCAAAGGCAGACGACAACTTAGTCCAGGTAGCTTTCCATATATACGAACCCCACGGAAACAGATTCCATGCATTTAGGTCCTCTACCAATAATATTAGCTCCTGAGGAATAGGTTGTCTGGCCTCTCTGCCTAAAAAGCCGGCATACAAAAGTAGTAGAAGGCATACTCGGACAACATCGACGTCATTCATCCGAGTAAAACCATCTTTCTTATTAAACAATTTCTTCATGTCGTCGACGTGTAAGTTCGGCTTCTCTATTGACTCATCAGGAAAAACCCTGGATAACCATGATGGGCGGGTGATATGACGAGTGTACCGGCCTACATCATCGTGTCCGAATCGTAGACCAGTGATTAAGCAGAACTCCTTCCGCCCAAAACAAGTATACGCCGGTGGAAAATGAAACCATATCTCTTCCTCACCACGTTGTATACTGTCGGGTAGATCGCTAGTCATGGTCTGAAGCCACAAATGGGTCAAACTAGCATCTCCACCCGGATGCTGTACTCTCAGCCATGGCCCGAAGCAGGTTTCTTCAAACAATTTTCTTTGTGCAGGTGAAAGCTTCGAAGCAATTGTAGTGGCTAGGCTAACTTTATTCCTTAATGTCAATGAAGCCGAAAAAAATTTCTACAAAAAAACAATAAACATACCAAGTTAGATATACCAAAAATTACACTGTCAAGATATACCAAAAACAAAACAATAAACATAAATAGTAGTTTATTCTTGAAACTAAAATTTGCAATACTGTTTTTGTCTTTTGGTTGAAATGAAAATCGCAACGAGATAATGAGAATCGCAACGCGGAAATGACTATCGCTACGAGAGAATCGCAACGCGAAATGACTATCGCGACCAGACAATTGTAACGCGAAATGAAAATCGCAACCGCGAAATAAAAATCGCAACGCGAAATAAAAAACGCAACGCGAAACAAAAATCGCATTGCGATTTTTGTTTCGCGTTGCGTTTTTTATTTCGCGTTGCGATTATCTCGTTGCGATAGTTATTTCCGCGTTGCGATTTTCATTCTCGAAACTATTCTTCTTCTGCATTACTTCAACCAAAAGACAAAGCAAAGACAAATACTAACTTCACAGGCTAAACAGTTTAGCAGTATTGGCAGCAATCGAATGAATTTAATAAGAAATCTAAGTGAAATGGTTAATCTATTATTGAAATTACCAGTAAACTTATCATCAATCTCAATATGAAAAACCTAAAATAATGCAAAAATTTCAAAATAAAATAAAAAAAACTAACCCTCGGAGGTTGATTTTCCATTTCTGAATGATTGTGAGGGATTTTTGACTGTGAATGGTTGTGAGGGATTTCGCTGGCGATGGGGACGGAAATCTTCGGAGATGGGGACGGATTTCGCCGTAGAGAGTGAGAGATGGAGATGGGACTGAGTGTTGTGTTTTTGGGTTTGAGGTTATGAGTTGCGATTACTGTGGACGGTTCAGTTTCCGATTTATTAAGAAAAAATTCGTGTTTGGAATTTGAAAAAAAATACGCGTTAATACGAATGGCGCTATGTAAATCGCGTTGCGAAAGTCAGTATCTCGTTACGATTTTGTATTATCGCATTGCGATAGTCAGTATCGCATTGCGATTTTCCCAATTCGCGTTGTGATTTACTTATTCGCATTGCGAATTGGGAAAATCGCAACGACATTGTATACCATCGCAACGCGATTTCCAACTATCGCAACGCGAAATGCAACACGAATTTGCGATAATGGAGATCGCGTTGCGAATTAGCGATCGCATTACGATTTTGTTGGTCATTTTGGCAAATCCGGAAAAAGTTGGTTAAAATCGTATATTATATGGGATTTTTGGTCACTGAGGTTATTTTATCTTTAAAAAATGGTGCTATCCTACCATCAAGAAAGATTTTTTAATAAAATTTAATTCATAATTTACCTAATAATAATTTGTAATAGTTTTATTTTACATTTTGTGAATCTTAAATAGAATTATTTCCGACCAAATCCTAATTCAGCTGGTATTATTATTATTATTAAGTTAGTCTAAATTCTTAACCTTCTATTTTTTTTAAATTTAAGGTCGAAATTTATATAAACTTATACATAGTGATTTATGAGTTAATAAAAAAGTGGTATTTATTCTATTACTATATTATTACAAACAGAATGTGCAATAAACCTAAAAAACAAGCAGTCCAAAGGACAAACTTAGGTGCATATGCATTTTTACTAGTATAGAATGCCGATCCGGAAAACGCCAATTCTTTCCCCTACCTTACCAGCAAGACTTCTTTTTCTGCACCATGCATGCATATAACACATACGATCATTTATCTAACCAATTAAGATCAATCACATTACATACATCGATGTAACTTCGAATACAGTACGTATATATAGAGAGAGATTTATTATCATCTTCAGACTTACCCGAAACTTAGCTTCTTCTTGACCATCTATGTATGCAAGGAGTTCTTCCTGCCGCATTAAGGCATCATGAAGTGCCTGCTTATATATAGAAACACAATCAATAAAACACATCTAAAAAAACTACCACCAAGATAACTTTTGTACTCGAGCTGGAATCGAGGACAAATTACCTTTTTCGTAGCAATTAGCACTGCTTCTAACGCATCCACGCGACAAACAGCAGCACTCAGCAACTCCTCTTTCTCATGAGGCATTTCAAATCTTTTTGACTGTAGTGTCTCAACCTTCACTTCCAGATCACCAAGCCTTCTTACGACAGATGAAATGAGGTCTGCCTCTGTAAACCTTGGAGGAGCAGGTGAAGGTGGACGAGTCTCGTCCTTAAACATAGATTCGAGATGCTGGTCAGGAATGCTACATGTCAAATTAGTAACTCTAGGCTTCTTCGTCAGATGCAACACCATTGTTCGGATAAGAGAAAAAGGGGTCAAAAAAAGGAATGACTAGAGCACTGATATGACCATAAATTCCTTTTGGAGCATGCTCTATCAGTTGGAAAGGACTCCCTACAATCGAAGCCAGTGGACTTCATCAAAATCATGTATTATGAAAATAAATAAAGAAATAGTCGAGCTCTGGTTTGATTACATTGTTCCTATGACTCATAATGTGATTAAATCTTGTTATAATGAGCTGAAAGCTTTTAAAATGCGAGGGGGGAAAGACAGAAGAGAAATGTCCAAAGTCTGGCAACATTCTGTTCATCTTGGGTGCTGTTATTTAGAAGGGACAAAAATTTGGATTGAAGCATATAAATGGTCATGCAACAATGTAATTTACATTTTTGCAAGCATTTAAACATATGCTAGTTGAGTTGACATGCAGTAAACAAAATAGTTTCTCCAGTCATGCCAGTCATATTGGTCAAGTAAAAAAGCAGCTTTTAGAAACAGCTCATATTGCTAACCTTCAGAAGTAAATGGACTCTGACATGACACTTATATCTCACTCTCCGAATCTACAGCCTTGTCGATCATGGGGACATTTTCATCATTCTTGGATGAACCTGCAGCGGAGCTCGCCTTGCCAGCCATTCTAGCCTACAGAAACATCATAGTATGCTGTTACAATTGCAAGATTTAAGAATTTATAGCATGAGACTAAGCATATGTTATGGATTGAGAGTAAAAGAAGAGATTCGAGAAAAGAATTTAGAAGAAAGAGAGTTGAGAGATAAGAAAATTCATCATTCATTGCGTAAAGGAAAATGTGATCTACACAGCGGGTATTATTTAGTTACAAAATTGGTACGGGAAATCTAACAATGCCAGCTGGCATTCCACAATAACAGAATGCTTAACAGACTGCCTCATATCCTTCTTCGGCTGCTGCAGGTATTGGGCCATCTTGGTTGGGTCGCTCCATCTCACCCTGTACGCCTTTGGTCTGCTCCAACCCATCAGGTAAGTCGAATACATTACCCCCTCGTGCTTCAATCCCTTCTCTAACTTCAATTCCCAAATTACTCTCTCCAATCCCTAACCCTCGTTCCTCCATTCCCAAATCCTACTCGTTTCCTCGTTCTTCATCTTATTCTCCGACTATAACAGCATATTCCCGTTAAGCCAGCTTAGGATGATGTTATGTTATTTTTTACAGTGAGCAAATTGTCCAAATATATACTGGCAAGTTAAGCACCCTTGGATAGTGAAAAATCATTCGTTGCAATTTGCAAGCACATACCTCTTCACTGACAGGAGCCAATATTGGATGTAAATAGTTTCTAGTTGGGATAGGAGAAGCAAATTCTTCCACTTCAGATCCTGACTCGACTACAGATGTGTCGCTACTCTTCATCTATCGAGGATGGGAAAAATTGACAAATGCAGAATTTAGAGAATGTTTGACTAAATTCTAACATTATAAAACTCAATGCTGAAAAGGCATAATACGCACTATGAAAGGCAATACAGTGACCATGGCATGGCTTTTCATAAGCAATTACCTTTCTTTCTCCATTTGAAACTGTCACTATCTGTCTGGTGTATAGTGCTTCACCATCGGCAATCATCTTCATGAAAACATTTAATCATATTACTTAAAGCATATATGAGATGACACTGAAAAGGAAAGGAATAAAAAAAGTAGAGAAAATTTAATCACAGCGTAATCAGACCTTCAATATGTTGGGGTCTTTCCAGGAATCTTTGTCTGATCTCATACAACCTCCCTGATCAGCACAGGTGCAGGTACCTCCAAGAAACTGCGGTAACTCGCTAAATTTTATTGATATAAAGAACTTTAGTTGGCAGTGCAACTGAATGTGAATTAACCAGCATATATGCAAACAAAAAAATTTCATTACCATGCATCAATAATTTCAAGCAACTTACTCTGGTAGTTGCTACCAAGAACCTGAGAGTTTTAGGAAATGAGGAACTTCTATTAACTGAGTAGTTGAAACCTCAAAAACTATTTTTTTTTTAAAAAGGAGGGGGTGTAAAACTATATGAAATTTTGAACTTACAGTAATCTTACTAGCTGTTTTGGAATCAAGAACAGATTTGACAGCTTTCCAGGCCATCTTAAAACCAGAACCAGCATTGATGATAAACATTCGGCAAAGAGTCTGCAGAGAGAAGATGATCAAAAGAGAACCTTGATTTTGATTCCTGAATTTTTTTTGTCAAAGCTGAAACAAAAGTACTTTCACAAGATGTATAAGCACATTTGGAACTAGGACAATCTACCTCAGGATAGTTATCACCATCAATCTTCTGCAGACACCTAACAAGATCTTGTGCAGACTTGCTGAAGTTTTTTAGACCCTACAAGGAAAAATAGCAGGGAATGAGCAACATATAAATTTAATAAAATTTTACAATGTATACATAAAATGATGCCGGGGAAGACTAAAAAATCTAATAAACAGCATAAAAACATACCATGCCTTGAAAGTCTAAAATAGTTGTACTGGAATCTATGTGTCTCTTTGCAGCAATGGAGCAAGCCGGAAACTTAGTTGCAAAACACTTTTCAAATTCCTTCACATGGTATCTTACATATCGTTCCAAAGTTGTTTCTCGCATGAGCTTATCAGGTACAACTTTTCCTATCAATTCAATGTAAACAGGTCTTCCTTCCTTATCCACACCATGAAAACCTTGAGGGTAGTACTTCAACACTTCGTCCAACTCTTGGAAATCAAAATCCAAATTAAACCATAAAAAGAAAATATTTTCAGAGGCAGCATTGATTTTATCCGAATGAAACCATCAATAAGTCCATAAACGAGTTGGAAAACAAATTTAGCCATGTGCATGTGTCCTCAAAACTTAGAATCAACCATTTAACGCTTTAATTAACAAAAATCCGATCAAAGATATTGAGTATTTCCTGCAATAAGATGAGATCACCTCCAAAATAGTATCAGTACCAAAGTCCTTCCTCCATTGCAGCATATTATCCCACATGTGCTTTGCTTTTTCGATATCGAACTTTCTTGCTTTTAAGAATCAGATAGAAATCACAGTTAAGAGACAGAAATCAGAACTTTCCATAAGTACAGAGTAAACTAATCAAACTTGCATCACTTATATTATCCAATGCAAAAATCCCCATACATAAGCAATCGTTGAATCAATTCTTCGTATAACGAAGAAGAATGCAGCCTACCTCAGCAGCATATGATACTCATCATGTCTCTGTGGAAGCAACTCATCCGCGATTAATGCCTGACGAAAAGCTTCAACAGCCTGCAACTCCTCAATATCTCGAAAATCCTTAATCGAAACAGAAGTGTCGTAACCGGTTTTCGCCCGGGCACGAATTTTTTATTTGGCGGGAAAAGTGATGTGAATAAATGGTTTTTAAAATAATTTGGGAGTCGCCATCGGTCTTTTGGGTCAAGTAGGTCGAATACCTAAAAATCATCCTTTAAAAGAGTTTTTCAGAAAACATCGATTAAAAGATAAACTTATCTGCGTTTTAACCAAAAATTCATTCTTTTTAATGATAAAAAGGGATTCGTGGTCGGTTACGTTTAGGGAATGATTAGCACCCTACAACGCCCAAAATTGGTACTTTTTAATTATACATTGTCTCTATTATTAGAAATTTAAGAATTCAAAATATATTTAATTTATAATCCTATTATTTTAAAATTATGATTATGAAAAATATATATTAATTTATATATTTATAAATAAAATATTTATTTATTAAGAAATATAAGAAAATGACTTTTAGGTGCCTTAAGACAGCTCTTTTCTTTGATATTAAAAAATAAATAAATAATTAAAACAATTAATATGTAATTTATAAAATAAGATATTTATTTATTTAAAAATATCAGAAAATGGACATCTAGTTATTTTAAGACTGCCCTTTCTTAATATTGAAAAATAAATAAATATATATTAAAATATGATTATTAAAAAAGTAATTTATGAAATATAAGATTTTAACGAATAAACAAATATTATTTATTATATATATATATATTTATTTATATAAATAATAAAAATAATAATAAAAAATAATAATAATAATAATAATAATATTTTAAATAATGATTTAAAATAAAAGGAATTAAAAATATAATATTAAAATGTAAAAAGTAATAAGCTTGTAGAATGAATGAAAATATTAAACTTAAGGACTAAATTATAATCTAATAAAATTAAATACTTAATTCATAATTAATTATTTAAAATTACAGGGATTAGACATGCTATTTTACCCATTTATTAATTTAGTGACTAAATTAAAATTATATAAAATTCATATATCAAATTAAAATAAATTGAAATATGCTGTTCGGGTTTAAAATATCAATTATTAAAATTAAAGGACTAAATATGTTATTTATCCTAAATATATTATTTAATATAAATGACTAAAATAAATAAAATTAAAATTAAAGAACCGAATTAAAAGGATTATAAATTGATTTAGTGACTAAAATGTAAGGATTACAAATTAGGATGGCTGCGGAAAGGGTTTAACTTTTAATTAATTACAGACAAACCCCTCCCCAAAACGGCATCGTTTGGGGAGGGCTATTTAAGTCCCTAACCGGTTGGCCCGAAGGGCCAGCTCTCATTTCTCACTTTCACTCTCTCTCTCTTCTTCGAGAGAGTTTAAAACTCTCTCACTTCTCTCTAAAACAGAGAGAATGGGAAAAAAAATTTTACACCTAAATATAGATCGGACCATCCTATTGATGGTTCCGATGACCGTTTCCCTTAAAAGACTCCCGATCGGAGCAAATCTACGAAAATACCTTCGGTTTTTGAAGGTTTCCGATGACGTGTGAAGGCTCCGGTGATGTTGCAGCTTCCTCAGTAAGTATCTCTCCGTCTTCTCCTTGCTTTTTTTTTGTGTTTGTGGTTGCTAGTTTGCTTGCTTTTTTTTCCTTGTTTCTTTTTTCTTTCCCTGTCTCTTCTTGTTTGCAGGTGGTCGATGGCTTTATAGCCATCACCGGTGTGGCTCTCGGACCGGGTAAAAGAGTGGAGTTTGGTGAGTCACCGGACTTCCAGTGGTGACTCACCGTTGGGGCGACATGTGTGCGGCTGGAGTGGCTCTTCTGGAAGCTTTCGACAAGACATGGCAGCGATGGAGATGGTGGGAGTAGTTGCGGCGGCCGCGTGGCCCTAGGGGATCATCACCCTAGGGTTTGTGCTGGATGCGTGTGGGCCGTTGGATCTCTCAGATCCAACGGTTGTGATGCTGAGGCGGCTGGATGATATGGAAACATGAGGCGGCGCCGCGCGGGGCTAGGGTTAGAAAACCCTAGTTGAAACCCTAAATGTTTTAGGGTTTCCATCTAGTTTGGGCCAACTGTAAATGGGTTTAGGGTTATGCTTGGGCCATTTCTGATCGGGCCTGGTTGTAATCGGGCCAGAGTTGGGCCTTGGGTTGTATCTGTAATAAAATAATAATATTAATAATAAAAATAATATTAATAATAAAAATAATAATAATAGTAATAAAAATAATAAATATAATAAAAAACCAAATATATAAAAAAACTAGTGTCTTCAACTGCCCCTCTTTGCTCATTCTTATGTTAACAAGAATAGGGCAAAGACGAAAAGACAATAAGTTTTTTTGTTCATTTGACTTCATTTGATTATGATGGTAATGTTAAACAAAATTTTCTTTGAGATTAGTTCTTTTCATTATGAACTTTTCCACTAGGGATGATAATTTGTCTCATTTTGTAATGTAATTTAGCAAAAAGTTAATAAGTTCTTCTCATTATGAACTCTTTCACTGGGGATGACAATTCATCTCCTTCTGTGATGTAATCTAGAAATGTTGATGTTGATCTATCTCTTTCTGTGATAGAATCATGCAAAAGATTGAACAAGTTCTTCTCATTATGAACTTCTTCTTCCTTCTTCAGATGAGTTCTTCTCATTATGAACTCGACCTGGTAATGTTGATCCATCGAATGATGAATTCAAGCGAAAAGTTGAACAAGTTCTTCTCATTATGAACTTCTTCTTCCTTCTTCAGATGAGTTCTTCTCATTATGAACTCGACCTGGTAATGCTGATCCATCGAATGATGAATTCAAGCAAAAAAGTTGAACAAGTTCTTCTCATTATGAACTTCTTCTTCCTTCTTCAGATGAGTTCTTCTCATTATGAACTTTCTCTGGAAAAGCTGATGCTGATCTATCTCCTTCTGTGATAGAATTATGCAAAAGGTTAAACAAATTCTTCTCATTATGAATTTCTTCTTCCTTCTTTAAATTAGTTCTTCTCATTATGAACTTTCTTTGGAAAAGCTGATGCTGATCTATCTCCTTATGTGATAGAATTATGCAAAAGGTTGAACAAATTCTTCTCATTATGAATTTCTTCTTCTTCAGATGACGAGTTCTTCTCATTATGAACTCTACATGGCAATGTTGATCCATCAAATGATGAATTCAATCAAAAGGTTGAACAAATTCTTCTCATTATGAACTTCTTCTTCCTTCTTCAGATGAGTTCTTCTCATTAAGAACTTTTACTGGTACTGTTGATCCATTGAATGATGGATTTAAATCTTTGATAAAATCTTTGAAATTCCTGTCAAAATTCAACATGGATAAAATGAATGAAAATGCACCTATTTTTGCAAATGCCTAAATATGATGCATGAATATTAACTTTACTTTTATTTGATTTCAAATTGGTGAACTTAGTATTTCTTCAGTTGTGTAGAAATCCAATAAATCTTTCTTCTTCAAATCGGAGAATCTATCATCTTTGAAAAATGTAGATGTAGATATAATGTCACAAAACCCCTTGAGAACAAAACTCAATGGCACAGGCTCTTGAAAAGTTTGTACTCATGTAACATGTTGATTCTGATAACTACTCATCTAATTATGAAGTAATCTCTCAATATGATTTCACAGATATTGATAGTTCTTTTGATACCGAGAAAATCATGAATTCTGATTCTGATGAGGAGAGTAAACTGTTATACTTGACGAAAATGGGATACTCAAATGCTATGTCTTCAATAGTCATAGAGATATAATCCTGATTCATCAATTGCAGAGTTGACAGATTTTATATGTGCTGCTCAAATGGCTAAGGCTGCTGACACACTTCTTCCGGTAAAAGATAGAAAGCCATTATGCAATGATCCCAATTACAAGAAAAGGCGAAACTTGGGTTATGATTTTTGGGAAAGGAATAAGCAGAAGAAGCTTGAAAAGAAGCTTCTTAATGAAGACAATCATGCAGTTCATCTTTCAATTCTAATGATTGGTTCAGTGGTTCCTACCGAATCAGATCAGATAACTCAAAGAACACTTCCAGAAGATGCTATTGGGTCTCCTTATTTCTACTATGAGAAAATTCATCTTTCAAATCTAATAATTGGTTTTGGGGTTTATACCAAACCAGATCAGATAACTCAAAGAACACTTCCAGAAGATGCTATTGGGCCTCCTTATTTCTACCATGATAACGTGGAACTTGCTCCAGTTAATGTTTGGACTGGAATATCACAGTACTTATTCGATGTAGAGCCAGAATTTATAGATTCGAAGCATTTTCATGCTGTTACACTAAAAAGGGGCTATATTCATAATCTACCATGGCTTTTCCTTTTGCTTTCACCTGTTCTGATGCATTGGATGTTTCGGGAGAATAACATCTCCACTTCTTGTAAAGAATCCGACTTCACTCACTGCTTCAGACGTCGAATCCAGATTCTGTATTTTCTCTTCTGTTTTTTCCAGAGAAACAGATCCTCCTAC